GTGTGCCCCCAGGCCTTCTACATGATCCGCTTCCACTCCTTCTACCCGTGGCACACTGGCGGCGACTACCGGCAGCTCTGCAACGAGCAGGACCTGGCCATGCTGCCCTGGGTGAAGGAGTTCAAGTGCGTGACCAGCGGCAGCACAGGGCAGCCTTGCCCAGGGTGGGGGGCGTGGCCAGACTAGGGGCGTGGTCAGGGAGCGGGGCGTGGCCAGGCGCGGGTGTGGCCAGACTCTGGGGCGTGGCCAGACTCTGGGCGTGGCCGGGCTGGGGCGTGGCCAGACTCGGGGCAGGGCCAGAGAGTGGGGCGTGGCCAGGGCTCGGGGGCGTGGCTTCTTACATCCCTGTTGGTCCCGTCTTCTGCAGCAAGTTTGACCTCTACACCAAGTCCCCCGACCTTCCGGACGTGAAAAAGCTGCGACCCTACTACCAGGGACTCATTGACAAGTACTGCCCTGGTATCCTGCGCTGGTGATGGACCCGCCTGGCTCCACCTCGGCCCTCTCACGTCCACTTCCCGTCAGCACCACCCCCCTCCCCCACCCTCCCAGGGTCACTCTGCCCGGGGATAATAAAGAGTTTGCAGCAGACCCTCCGTCCCCAGACTGGTTCTGAGTGTCACCCTCATTGGGATGGAGTGTGCCGTGACACAGGCAGGCGGGCAGACAGCCACCAGGCTTTGTGCATCAGGACCCAGTTTCCCTCCTCACCCCCACAGCCAGAAACATGAGTGAGGGTGGGAACAGACACTTGCAGCCAGGAGCAGACCCACCTGGTTGCAGACCCTCCCCTCCTGTCTTTCTCTCCTTTTGGGGGTCCCTCCCAGCAGTGCGGGGGACCGTGTGGTGCCAGGAATCAAACTGAACTTCCTTCATGCAAAGCCGGCGCTCAGCCCTGGGAGCCGTGTCCGGCCCACCCTTTCCTGTGGCTCATGTCGGCTGCGTCACCCTCGCTCTGCAGGGCGGTGTGGCCTGGTCTCCTTTAGCCCCAATGCTCCCCCTCTGTGTTCTAATGAGATCTTCCCTGGTGCTTCCTGGGAGTGATCACCCATCACCAAGCCCCGAGCTCAGTGAGGTTCTGGTTGGACCTACTGGGATGGGTGTGTCCCCGGTGGTGATGTCACAGGGGGTGGAGTCGCGGGTGATGAGGTCTCAAATATTGTCACAGCTGCTGGCCCCAGAGTGAGCAGAGGTGCCTCGGTTTCTCATTGTGTCTGTTTCTGTTGCTGGACATTGAACCTGGGCCGGCTGCATGCAAGGCAAGAGCCCTGCTTGCTGTCCTATGGCTCCAGCGCCATTCTTTTTTTTTTTTTTTTTGGTTTTTGGGTCACACCCGGCGATGCACAGGGGTTACTTCTGGCTCTGCACTCAGGAATAACTCCTGGCGGTGCTCAGGTGACCATACGGGATGCTGGGCGTCGAACCCGGGTTGGCTGCATGCAAGACAAACGTCCTACCCACTGTGCTATTGCTCCAGCCCCTCCAGCCCCATTCTTGAAATAATTATTATCATCATTATTTGGGTGTTGGGGCCACATGCATCAGTGCTCAGGGAGGGCCCAGTGGTCTGAGTGCAGGTTTCAATGCCAGAGGTCTGGCTTCCAGCCCAGCACTGTGTGGTCCTCCAAGTACCAGAAGAAGTGACCTCTGAGCATCGAGGCAAGAGAAGCACCAAGAACTGCTGGCTGTGCCCCTCCCAGAAAAAAGGCCCTGGGTGGGGATAGTCCAGGCACCAGGACCCCACGTTTCTGACCACTGAGGGAGGGGATGGCCCCTGGAGCAGGGATATGGGGCTCAGTTGTGCCTGCCCTGCCCTGGCATCTCACCCCCAAGTCTGACCTGGCGTGGCCCCTCTCCAGTTCATTCTGAGACCCACTGGCAGTGGCCCCTAGTTCCCTCTGGGCCACAGCGGGCTTCCATTCCTCCCTGGGAGGGCGCCTCTGCTGAGTAGTGGGTTCAGGCAACAAAACTGAGGGGCATCTGTCTGCCCGCCTGTCTGGGGCTGGAAGTTGGGCTGGAAGTTCTCTTGGGGCCCAGTGGCCCTGCTCCTTGGGAGGGGCTGTGAGCATGGTTGGACTGTGGGCAGTGCTGGAGGTGGGTGGCACTTCCAGGGTACCCGCGAGCCAAGGAAGCACAGGGCTAAGCTCAACCCAGCTCTCGCGCAAGCCAGGGAGGACAACTGGCAGCGAGTGGGTGCAGTTGCTTGGTGCCCCAGGTTTGCTGGGTGGCGTGAGAGGTTTCCAGAGCCCCTCTGTGGCCATCAGTGACAGGGGGCTCATGCTGGGTGACTGTGCGGGCCAGAGAAGCTTCCTTCTCGGCAGGAATGTGGTCGAGGCTACTGATGTGCAACGCGGTGCCCAGAATCTTCAATGGGGGTGAAAACTGTCTTTCCACCAGTGGGGCTGGGAAAGCGGGGTTTCCACATGCAAGCCATGTATCACACGCAAAGAACGAGCTCAGGTGGAGGTGTGACCTCAGCAGGGACGTGTGACCTCCGTGGATGCGTGACCTGTGCGGGACACATGACCTCAGTGGGGACGCAGTCTGAGGAGGTGGAAGAGCCAACACAGGAGCTGGCTACTGAACAGGGGCTCAGACCCCTGGATATTTCCAAGGACCAAGGACTCCGGGGAGAGAATGATCAGGAAACCGCAGGACATGAGATACCTGTAAATTCCAGGTCTGATGAGGGACCGGAATCTCCAGGGCTCAAAGAATTCCAACTATTCTACCACCAAAGTAGAGAAACAAGCAGGAAATGAGAAATGAGAAATGGACTTGATTAGACATTTCTCAGAAATACACAGGGCTAGAGCGATAGCACAGGGGTAGGGCGTTTGCCTTGCATGCAGCCGGCCCGGCCGACCTGGGTTCAATTTCTCTGCCCCTCTCAGAGAGCCGAGCAAGCTGCCTAGAGTATCTCGCCGCACGGCAAAGCCTGGCAAGCTACCCGTGACATATTCGATATGCCAAACACAGTAACAACAGGTCTCACAGTGGAGACATTACTGGGCCCGCTTGAGCAAATCGATGAACAATGGGAGGACAGTGCTACACGGGGCCAGAAAGCTAGTTCAGTGGGTAGTGCTCTTGCCTGGCTTGCAGCAGACCCAGGTTCCATCCCCCGTATCTCCTATGGTCCCTGTGTAGAGTCAGGAGTAAGCTCTGAGCACTGCTGGAAGCCCCCCCCTCAAAAAAAAGCCCAAGGGAACCAATATGTATTGGGGGAGTGGGTGGAGTGATAGCCTTGGGGCGTCTGCTTGCAGGTGGCTAGTCTTTTCAATCTCTGACATCCCATATGGACCCCCTCATTTGTACTAGGAGTGATCTTTAGTATAGAGCTGGAGTAAGCCCTGAGCACTGGTGGGGTGGCCCCCAAAATATTCATGTACATGTATATATATGTGTGTGTGTGTTCGTATGTATACACACATATGCATATGTAATGTGCATATAAATACATACACACACACATATAAATTAGGCCAGAGAGAGCTTAGGGGGCTGAGCACATCCTTCACTCAGCTTTAGTCCTTGGCACTGAAAGGATGAAGGGAGTGACTCCTGAGCACAGAGCCATGTGTGACCCGAAAACAAACAAAAATCACTAAAGGGGTCAGAGCGATAGCACAGTGGGGAGGGGGGTTTGCCTTGTACGAGGCTGACCTGGGTTCGATTCCCAGCATCCCATATGGTACCCCAGCACTGCCAGGAATGATTCCTGAGTGCAGAGCCAGGAGTGACCCCTGAGCATCATCAGGTGTGATCCAAAAAGCCAAATAAATAAAGAGCTTGCCTTTAAAAAGAAATACCACTAAAATGTGGTATTTGGGCTGGAGTGATAGCACAGCAGGCAGGGCGTTTGCCTTGCACGTGGTCGACCTGGGTTCGATTCCTCCATCCCTCTCAGAGAGCCCGGCAAGCTACTGAGAGTACCCCCACCCACTCGGCAGAGCCTGGCAAGCTCCCCGTGGCATATTCAATATGCCAAAAACAAGTCTCACGATGGAGATGTTACTAGTGCCTGCTCGAGCAAATCGATGAACAACGGGAGGACAGTGCAACAGTGCTACCACTAAAATGTACATCTATGGGAGTGGAGGGCGAGCACAGGGCTTAAGGCACTTCCTTTGCAGTGCTAGCGACCCATTCAACCCCTGAGACCACATATGGTCCCATCAGCATGGCCAGGGGTCACTCCCAGGCAAGAATGAGCCGGGAGTAGCCTGACCCCCATCAGATGAGCCCGTGCCCCAAGTGCATGACCACCGTGATGGACGTCCATACGCCAGTGGAAAAGAAGCACAGAAGGACATGCTCAGTGTGCCTCCTCCCAGGCGCTTCCAAACCCACCGCCAGACCACTCTTCAGTCAGCAGGGCAGCAACGAGGGGAGTCAGGACTCGCACGGCGACCTGAGCTCCTCCCCTGACTGCAAAGCATCCACACGGAAGTCACCAGTGTGGCATGACATGAGAAGGCGTGCGATTCCCTCACAAAAGGCAAAAACAAGCCCTGGACACACGCTCACATGCCACGGGGCGCGGGGGGGAGGGGGCCCAAAGAGGAGCTCTCAGTTTCTAAATCAGATTCAGGTAATGCGGGCACAGATGGCTCAGGGTGGTTATCGGCGTCCCCTCAGCGTCCTAGACCCTCCACCACTGTCCTGTCCTTCCCTTGATAGTTGGGACCTGGGGCCTCTGTGTGCAGACCTGACCCAGGGCTTCTTCTCCCACCAGTCCAGCCCACCCATCCAGGGCCACAGTGCCCCTGCGGCTCAGAAGAGCCCAAGCAAGGCCTGTGGCCATGCCCGGGGCGTATCCTGACAAGCAGGGCAGCAGGAGGAAGCAGTTCTCCAGAGGGATCCAAGCACTGGCCACCTGGTCCATGACGCAGGTGGCTGACAGGTGGGCCAGGCGTGCCAGCGGGAGCTGCTGACAGCTGTGCACCCCCCAGGCAGGCCTGGCCCATGGTCCTCAGGGGAAGGAGCCCAGGCAGCGGCCAGTATAAAGATGCCTTTATTGGTGTGCGGGTCCGAGATCTGGGCTGGCAGGGCCCCTCGGCTCTGTGCCGGGGACCAGGACTCCAGACCTTGTGGTGGAGGCAGGGGAGCGGGTCCCCAGTTCTGATGCCCCAACTCGGGGCTGTGTACCACCATCAGGCCAGAGTGGAGAATCCAGGGGCGCCCGGCACAGGGGCAGCCCGCTGGGGACAGCAGCACCAGCTGCCTAAGGCACTGTGGCTCAGTGGCCGAGACCTGAGCTTCTGGCTGGCCCTCCAGGGCCAGGCGGTGGACACGGGGCTACTTCTTCTTCCGGGAGGCCCGGGACCGCAGGCTGCCGCTCTCGGATGCTGGGGTCGACGGCTTGCTGGCACTTCCTGAGTCCTTCTTGGGGGACAGCTGGGGCTTCTCCTCGCGGGCAGGAGCGGAGGACCGAGCAGAGCGGGGGCCCCAGAGGGCCTGGAAAACCCTGAGGGCTACGGTGGCGGCAAGGAGCCCCCAGAGCAGCGTGGGGGTGTCCAGGGGCGTCAGCTGCTCCCGTATCCAGTGCAGGCTCTGGGCCAGGGTGTTGGTGGTGCTGCGGACCCGGGGAGGGCTCTTGTCCTGTGTGTGTGTGTGTGTGGGGGGGGGGGGTGACAGGTCACTGGCAGGCAGGGGCAGCCACCCACCCCCGGGGCTGGCCCGGCTGCTACTACCTGAAGACCGAACTGTCTGAGCAGCGTTTCCAGTGTGGGATCCCCGAGGGTCACGGCCGGGAAGAACTCCTCCACCCACTGCCGGCGCCACCATCTCCTGCCACGGGACCGGGAGTGCAGGTCACGACAGGGAAACCGGCCTTCTAGGTGACCCCAGTCCCCAGACCCGTGGGTCTTACCGCTGCTCCCCGGGCTGTGAGAACCAGTATTTGTACCGCTGGGCCCGCAGGTAGGTGGGCGGTCGCTGGTAGAAAGGGTACCTGGCTGGGTGGTTCTGGATGAGGCGGATCACTGGATGGTTGGAAAGTGGGGGTGAGCGCGGGAGGCTGCCCCGCCCACCAGCCCAGGGCAGGCCCCGCCCCTCCCAGGCCCCGCCCACACAGCCCTCCCAGGCCCCGCCCCCGCCGCACCTGGCTCCTTGCCCTGCAGCAGGCGGTGCACCAGGCTGGTGAACCAGGGGCTGTGGGTGTGTGGGCCCAGCGCTGCGAACCACATCTGCCAGTCCAGGCGCGGCTGGTGCGGCGTCACGATGGGGGGTAGCTGGCTCATGTTCCCTGGCTTGTACATGAACTCCACCTCCTGGCGCGGGAGCCCCGGTCAGCACCACCTGGACCCGAGTCCTTCCCCCCTCCCCTCGCCCCCACGCATGCCACGCTGGGGAAGTCACCGTCCACTGGTTCCCATCATAGCTGCCCTCCAACACCACTTCGGGCCGCCCGCCCACACCAGTCATGCGGCGGAAGAGGCCGTAGGAGCTGGCGAGCTGCAGGTGTCCCACCGAGTTGAAGAGGCGGTGGGCGCCCGTCCAGAGGCGGCTGTGGCTGTCCGGCTCCACGTAGGAGTACGGCACCTGGAGGCGGTGGGGAGATTCCGCTGGGCTGCTCTGGCCCGGCGCTGCCGCCCTGCCCTTCCTCCCCGCCGGGAGCAGTACGCACCAGGCTGACTGTGAACAGGGCCACGGTGGCTGCACCCATGATGCACAGCTCAGTGGCTGCGACCAGCTTTGGAAGCCACCCTCGCACCTGTGTCCACCTGGGGGACCCAAGGGTGGTGAGGCCCTGTCCTGCACAAGTCATCCTACCCCTGTGCCCTGCCCCCTCCCCTCGGAGCCCTTCTACCTCCAGAGGGCAGTTAGCAGTTCCCAGGTGAGGGAGGCCGCCCCCAGCCACATGGTGGGCACAGTCACTGTCTTCAGCCACTGGGAGAACTGGTGGAAGGTGAAGGCTGTGGAGACGGACATGTCAGGGAGGGGCCGGTCCCGCCCCCAGGCCTCGAAGCCGCCCCCTCAGCACTCACTGGTCCTGGACTCCACACTGTGCCTCTCCCAGTCCACCTCCAGGCCAAAGCAGCAAATGGTGCCGTAGGCCAGCAGGCCATAGACGCCCAGTTCCAGCAGCAGCCCCAGCGCGGCCAGCACTGTCTTGGGCCAGGCTGTGGGCAAGAGCGGAGCAGGGTCTCTCAGACCATGGCTGGGGAAGGGGTAGGACCCTGGGCTGAGGTGGCTGCTCGTGGGATCAGGGAGGCACTCACAGGCGGGCGTCCTCCTGCGGCGACTGTGGTCACAGTGGACAGACAGGTGGGCGTCATCCAGGAGGGCAGTGGTGAGCACCAGCGTGAGGAGGTTGAAGAAGTTGTAGTTGCCGGTAATGATGATCAGTACTTGGAGCAGGACCTGGACACGGGGTGGGGGTGGGTCTGTGCCGAGAGCTTGGGCCTGGCTCCTCCTGCACACCCAGAGTGTCTCCTGCACACCCCCAGTCTCTCCTACACCCCGAGTCTCTCCCGCACACCTTGAATCTCTCCCGCACACCTGAGTCTCTCCCGCAAACCCCAAGTCTCTCCCGCACCCGAGTCTCTCCCACACACCGATTCTCTCCCGCGCACCCCCACCTCTGTGGGGCCCCGTTCCATCTGCCCTCCTGGACTTCTCCCAGACCAGCCCTTCTACACCCGCCCGTTCCCCAGGCTCATCTTCGCGCCCATCTCCTCCCCCTCCGCCCCCCAGGTCTCCTCGAGCAGCACCTGGGCATGGGACCCAGCGACCGGGCCGTGGGCCACGTGGGCCTGTCCCCTGGCCCACCTGGGAGTAGAAGGAGACCAGGCGCAGGCGGCGGACGGGGCCAAAGAACAGCAGGGGCATGGCCACCTCGATGAGGAAGGTGGCCACCACGCTGAGCTTGTGCAGCCACACGGGCAGGTGGTGGGCGTACCAGGCGGCAGGCGTGGGCAGGCACTGGGTCTCGTAGTGGTAGGTGAGCGCTGCGGGCAGGCAAGGCGTCAGACCCCGCGGGCCACCCAGCGTCCCCCGAGCCGCCCGGTGCTCCTCCACCAGGACCCTCACCGGTGAGCCCCCACCATGTGGGGCAGCGGCTGGTCAGCTTGACCACACCCGAGGAGAACATGAGTCTGAAGAGTAGCCAGCGCACCAGCCAGAAGGGGAGGTCCTCGTGGGGGGCCTGCTTGTGGTGGGGGGGTCGCCACAGCGGGGCCACCAGCGCAGCCAGGAAGCCGGTTTCCAGCAGGAGGGAGTCCCTGCGGCGAGCAAGACTGCTCCTGGGGGACAGCACAGACAGACACCCCCGCCGCCCCCGCAGGCCCGAACTCCCGTGAGCACACCCCCCCCTGTGCACCCACTCCCGCGTGAGAGTACACACTCACCACTGGAAGTAGAGAAACACCTGTCCCACCTGCCGAGAGAGAGAGAGGGGGAGAGAGAGAGAGAGAGGGAGAGAGAGAGAGAGAGAGAGAGAGAGAGAGAGAGAGAGAGGGAGAGAGAGAGAGAGAGAGAGGGAGGGAGAGAGAGAGAGAGGGGTAGTCAGGGCAGGCGCGCCGGGCGGGGCAGGGCAGGGCAGGGCCGGCCGGGCGCTCACCTGGCAGGCCGACAGGTAGGCAGCCCAGAGCAGCAGGTAGGTGAGCGGGTGGCGCAGGCGGCGCAGCAGCAGCGCGCCCAGGGCCAGCAGCGCGCCCAGCAGGCTCAGCAGCTCCAGGCCCTGCGCGGTGTCCAGCCCCAGCAGCGGCGCCTCCCACAGCAGCGTCGGGGTCTCCCACAGCTGCCTCCAGCGGCCCTTGCCCTGCGGCCGCAGCATCCTCCGGGCGGGCAAGATGCCGTCGGCGCCGTAGAGGCCTGGGGATGGACAGGTCAGCGCGCGCGCGGCCGAGCGACACCAGCCCCGGGACGCCGCCGGCAGGGCCAGTGCCCAGGCGGCGTGGGGGGAGGTGGCGCGCCAGCCTCCTCTGCGCGAGGACGGGCGCCCAGGCCGCAGGCAACGCCGACCCCCGCACGCGGCCTGGACCCCCGTCCGGCCCCGGCTGCGCCGCGCCCGGGGCGGGGGGCGGCGGGAGAGGCGGGAGGGCGCGGGGGTGGCGATTCCCGGCCTGGGCGCCCTCACCAGGGATCTGCATGTAGAGGGAGGCAAAGGCGCACATGAAGACGGCGGCCACACCCTGGAGGAAGAGCTGCTGCGGGAGCCGGGAGCCCGCCATGTCCGCTACGCGGCTCCGGGGCAGGACAGCGCTGGCCCGGACCCCGCCCGCGCCGCCCGGGGCCCCGCCCAATCCGGAGCGGGCGCCCCGCCCAGGCCCCGCCCACCACGAGCCCGCCCCTCGTTTACACCCGGCAGGCCCCGCCCACACGCGGCCCTCCGGCCTGGGCGCCCGCTACTTGGCCCCGCCCACAGGCCTGGGCGCCCGCTAGTTGGCCCCTCCTACCACGAATTCCCGCCCTCCTGCTTCCCCCACATCCCCGCCCAATCCGCCATGGGCGCCCCGCCCAGGCCCCGCCCACCACGAGTCCCACCCCCTCGTTTCCATCCGACCGGCCCCGCCCACACGCGGCCCTCCGGCCGGGGCGCCCGCTACTTGGCCCCGCCCACAGGCCTGGGCGCCCGCTAGTTGGCCCCGCCTACCACGAATTCCCGCCCTCCTGCTTCCCCACATCCCCGCCCAATCCGTCCTGGGCGCCCCGCCCAGGCCCCGCCCACCACGAGCCCCGCCCCTCGTTTACATCCGGCAGGCCCCGCCCACACGCGGCCCTCCGGCCTGGGCGCCCGCTAGTTGGCCCCGCCCACCACGAATTCCCGCCTTCCTATTTCCCCACGTCCCCGCCCAATCCGTCCTGAGCGCCCCGCCCCTCGTTTACATCCGGCAGGCCCCGCCCACACGCGGCCCTCCGGCCTGGGCGCCCGCCACTTGGCCCCGCCCACAGGCCTGGGCGCCCGCTACTTGGCCCCGCCCACCACGAATTCCCGCCTTCCTATTTCCCCACGTCCCCGCCCAATCCGCCATGGGCGCCCCGCCCACGCCCGGCGCTCCGGCAGGGGCGGCCAATTTCTGGTCCCGCCTACCACGAATTCCCGCCTCCTCATCTACATCCCGACTGGCCCCGCCCCTCCGGCCTGGATGCCCACTCGCCGGCCGGCCTCCCTAGGCCCCGCCCCCTCGTTTGCATCGCCCCGCCCCGCCGCCGTGTCATAAGTGTGCGCGGGCCGCCCGCGGCGTCGTTCCTGGGCGGGAACAGCAAAATGGCGCCAGAGCGGGCGGCGGGCTGAGCGCGAGACTGGCGCCCCGCAGAGCCGGCCCCGCGGCCCCCGGGCCGCCGCTGCCCCTCCCGGACATGGAGGACGTGGAGGCGCGCTTCGCCCACCTGCTGCAGCCCATCCGCGACCTCACCAAGAACTGGGAGGTGGACGTGGCGGCGCAGCTGGGCGAGTACCTGGAGGAGGTGAGCGGGCGGGCGGGGCGGGGCGGGCGGGGTCGGGGGGCGGCGGGCGGGGCGGGGCGGGCGGGGGGCGGCGGGCGGGGCGTGCCCGGGCTCGCGGGCCGCGTCCGGCCTTGCCTGGCCCCCCGCCGCGTCCCGCGTGCGTGACGCCCCGCGCCCCCAGCAGAGACCGGGCAGGGGCCCCTCGCAGGCCGGCGGCGGGGCGACCCTCTCGCCGCGTCCGACCCCGCGCGCCGCACCCGCCTGGGCCCGGCCGGCGCGCTTGGCGCCCGGCGGCTCGGGGCTCCGCCTCGGACCCCGCCCCCACTTCCTATCCCGGGCGTGTTTTGGGGCTTGGGCCTAGTGGTGCTTGGGAGTCCTTGGAGGCCCCGCTTGCCGGTGCCGAATGTCGAGAGCTGCTGTCTGGCCGATAAACTGATCCTGCCCATGAGGTTGTGCTTCTGCTTAGCAGCTGCCCGAGGCGCTGACTCCGGAGGGACCTGCCCGTGCTCCTATGGGAGGGATGGAGCCTGGGTCTGCCCCCTGCCAGGCAGGTGCCTTCCCTTCTCTGCCACCTGTCAGCCCGAGTCTGTTGCCTTTTGGGGGGGGTATTGGGTGCTCAGAGTTTGCTCCTGGCTCTGCACTCAGGAATTCCTCCCGGCAGTGCTCGGGGGACCCCGTGGGATGCCGGGGATCTAACCGGGGTCGGTCCCGTGCAAGGCAAATGCCCTCGCCGCTGTGCTCTCGCCCCAGCTCCCCACACTGAGTATGTTTAAAGTGAGCTCTTTGCTGTACAAAGCAAAATGAGATCTGGCCTTCCCGATCTCCGCTAACAGCATCACTTGAAAGCCAAGGGCTGTTCTGTGAAGCCCCACACCCACAGGCCGCCCCTCCTGTCAGTTAGACCCCAGCTTCTTCAGTCGCGGCCCGTGTGACTTTAGAGACAGTTGTTTTAGAGTCAGTTTATTCATGATTTACTGTTAGCAAATATTTCACTTCTGTACCTGCCTCCTGTGCCTGTACCAGGTGGGAAGGGCTGCAAGGAGAAAATGAGCACAAGCCCGACTCAGTCGCAAAACCTCTCGCAGGCCTCGGTCTCCATCTCTCTGCTCAGGTCCTCTTGAACCTGAGGCACCCCAAGTTCTTTGGCCTGCTACTTCCTTTTCAGAAAAATAAAGCACTTCCCTTGCTCTGGAAATTACCTTCTTTGGTGTAGCTCCCTCGCGTTGTCCCCTGCTCAAGGGAAAAAGAAAGTTTCAAGTAGAGGATGTGCGGAGGGGCCTGCTTGTGGCGGGGTAGGGCTGGGCCTGCGGGTGACGCCTACGTGCAGGGCTGCAGTGTGGGGAGGAGCAGACAGGCTGGTGCATGTGAGTGGGGTGAGCGGAGGGAAGGAGTGGCGGCCCCAGGATCTGCACATCGGTTTCGGGAGGGGCTCCCCATGACTCTGCTCTGGGGGAGGCCCTGGAGAGGTGGGGTTTTTTGTCAGCTGCATCGCAGGCTGTCCCCTGTCCCTGTGACTCGTCCCTCCTCTTGGGAGTGGGTACGTCCTGCTGCCCCCCTTCCTGGGCTCCCCATAGGGCCTCTTCTGTGGCGCTGGCAGGGCCTCGCTTTCCCCGGCTGGCTGGGCAGAGAGAGGGCGCTGGGGTGCAGGGAAGGTCCTGCGCTCCTGCCTGCTCCTCTCCAGACAGAGAGGGCAGCTGGCGAGTGCTCAGAACAGGGAGGGCTTTGGCAGAGGCTTGCAGAGCTGCTGGCCTGTGGCCGACTGAGATTCCAGGTCCCAGGAGCTGCTGGGGGCCCCGAGGAATGGGGGGGTGCTCTGACACTTCTGAGCTTCTCCCCGCCTGCAGGGAGCTTCTTCCTCCTAAGGTCCGAGAGGGTCGCTGGGATGTGCGTGTGGTGCCTCTTGCTGGGGTCTCCCCGGAGGCAGCTGCAGCCTCTGGAGGCCTCGGGTCAGGGGATGGAGTGGTCGGGACCTGCTGCCCCCTCTAGGGGCCCAGAGGCCCTGCAGACCACTCAGCCAGCCCCCTTGTGTCTCGCAGCTGGACCAGATCTGCATTTCCTTTGATGAGGGCAAGACCAGCATGAACTTCATCGAGGCCGCGCTCCTGATCCAGGGCTCCGCCTGCGTATACAGCAAGAAGGTGGGCCTCTCTCTCCCGCCGCGTCACCTCCTGCACCAGCGCCTGTGCAGGGGGAACGGCTAGCCTGCCACGGGGCAGCAGGGCTGCGGGGCTGTGTGAGAGCTCGTGTCACAGGGCCAGCACTGTCCCTGTAGTTCCCGGGTCACTCGGGCTCCAGCATCATTGCTCTGGCCCTGTGGATGCTGTTAGCTGTCACAGTGAGCTGGGGAACCTGCAGAGTGGCACATCGGAGGCGTGTGGGCGGGGCCGTGGGCCTGGGCAGTGAGGCGCTGAGGAACACAGATGTCCCACGTGGTGGTTGCTCGCTCGGTGGGGTGCCTGAGCCCAGAAACACGTGAGTGAGAAGCTTGGGCTTTTACTGTTGCAGACTCAACCGAGTTATGTGCAACGGATCCAGCGCTGCAATGGGGCCCTAGGCGGCTCGGGCCCCCAGTTTTCTGCATCGCGTTGGTCCTACAGAGGACAGGGCAGAGAAGGCTCCGTGCTGGGGGCAGGGGCTGGGCCAACCCCGGGGGTGGGCCTCCCTCTCAGAGGCCGGCCCCGTGTCCTGGGGTCTCACGGATGTTGGGTGGTTCTGGAGGAGAAAGCTGAGGCCACACGGGCTGCAGCTTACAGCGTGAGCCTCAGGGACGCCATCAGGCTCGGAAGCGGGGGGAGGGTGGAGGAGGAGCCCAGGGCCTGGCAGCCCCTGGTCTGCACTCAGCACCGCCTCTGCTTCCAGGTGGAGTACCTGTACTCGCTGGTCTACCAGGCTCTGGACTTCATCTCCGGGAAGAGGTGAGGAGGGCAGGGCTGGCCGAGGCCCCGTCGGCTCGGTGTGGGGGGCTCGCCCTGACGCCCTGACTGGGTTCTCGCAGGCGGGCCAAGCAGCTCCCCTCGGAGCAGGCACAGGCGTCCAGCGGGAGCCTTCCCTCCGGGGCCTCCCAGGAGGTGGAGGATGAGGTGAGACTTTCCTCAAGGTGAGGTTTTTCTAATCTGGGCGCAGCTCAGGGCACCAGAGAACAAGAGTCCATGGAGAACTCAGGTGAGGCTTCTGGGTGCGGGGCGCTGCCTGCTGTCTGGCCCCACCCTGAGTCACCTGTCCCACAGTTCCTGTCGCTGGACGACCTCCCTCACTCCCGGACCAACATCTACCTGCGGGCCGGCCAGGAGCCCACCGTGAGTGCCCGCGAGGGAGGGCATGGGCACAGCCTCCCCGGGGTCCATGGTGGGGCAATGCCTCACCCAGCGTCCCCCCAAACAGGAAGTGCTCATCATTCCACTCCTGCCTATGGCCCTGGTGGCCCCCGACGAGCTGGAGAAGAGCCAGCACCCGCTGTATAGGTACAGGCTGAGTGGGGGCCCGACAGGTGGGGGCTGGGGGCTGGAGGGGCGCTTTCTGAGAGGGCCGTTCCTGCCACACAGCTGTCAGGGGGAGATCCTGGCCAGCAGGAAGGACTATCGGATGAACACGAGCACCCCGAACCTCCAAGGCTCCTTCATGCTGGAGCCCATAGGCATGTGCCAGGAGACCCTGGGAGAGCCGCAGGGTGAGATGTGGACAGGGATGAGGAGCTTCCTGGCTGCCCCCCCCCCCAGGGTGCAGGGCCTGACCGTCTGTCCCCTCCTGTCCCAGAGGCCAGGGAGGCTGAGGAGCAGCCCATGGACGTCTCTTTGTCTGCGAGCCCTGCCCCTGGCCCTGTGCTCAGCTGCTGCCAGGACCCAGGTGAGAGCACCAGCCTGGCCTGGACACCTTGAAGTGTCCCCTTGGCTTGGACCCATGTCCAAGGCAGCATAGGAAAGGGAGGCTGGGGGCAGCCCCGAGCTGCCAACCCTGCTCTCGCCCCTCTGCCTAGGTCCTTCCCGAGACGCTCAGATGCCCGGCAACAATGGAGGCGAGGACGAAGATGCAGGCTGTGGGGTAGAGGCCCCCTCCCCAGAGCCTCCAGAGTCTGGGAGCCCACAGGTGAGGCAGGCGGGGCAGAGGCTGCCTCTCCCCCGAACCTCCCTGGTCTGCAGCTGTTGAGTATCCCCCTTGTCTACCCCATGTCAGTCTTGGCCAGTACAGAGGCCCTGAGCGGGGTGGGCAGGCCAGTGGGTGTAAGCCAGAGTCCATCCTGGGGACTCTGAGGACAGAATCTTCTTGAGCTCCTCCAGGCCTGGCTGAGCTCCTGGGGTGCCCAGGGCCTTGGGTGGGGGAGGGACCCCAAGACTGTCTTCCTCACAGGGCACAGTACAGCCCCGGAAGTATTTGCTGCGGGAGAGGCACCAGGTGCTGGAGCCTGTGTCCCGGCTAAAGGTGAGGCCCCGGGAGGACTCCTGTGTGCCCAGAGATGGGTCCCCTCCCCCAGAGCACGTGGCATCCCTGGGTTCCGAGGGGTGCCGGGGGACCATCCCCACCATGTCTGCTGTGCTCTGCAGGAGACCCCAGACCCCTGGCAGAGTCTGGACCCCTTTGACTCCCTGGATTCAAAGCCCTTCAAGAAAGGTAACTGGGAGTGGAACGCCCTTTGCTGGCAGGGGCGTGTGTGGTGCCAGGATGGTGTGTGTGTGTGCAGCAGGTGGTTCGTCAGCATCAACAGTCACTGCCCCTAGGTCGGCCCTTCTCTGTGCCCCCCTGTGTGGAAGAGGCTCCAGGGCAGAAACGCAAGAAGAAAGGCGCCTCCAAGCTGCAGGACTTCCACCAGTGGTACCTGGCTGCCTGTGAGTGGGGACGCGGGGGATCCCCAGAATGCTGTGGGGGGCTCTCCCTCCCTCAGGGGGCTCAGCCTTGCACTGCCCCTCACAGACAACGACCACGCTGACGCCAGGAGGTCCCGGAGGAAGGGCCCGTCCTTCGCAGGTGAGGCCACGGCCCAGCGGTGGGTGTAGGGGGCTGCTGGGTCTTCCTGCTCTCAGCCGGGGCAGTGGGACAAGAGCGCTCACAGGCCCACTTGCAGACATGGAAGTCCTGTACTGGAAGCACGTGAAGGAGCAGCTGGAGACCCTCCGGAGGCTGCAGAGGCGGCAGGCAAGTGCCGCCCCGTGGGCCCCGCTTAGCCCCAGGGTGGTGGCCAGCCCCTCATGTGTGCTCCGTGCTCTCTGCAGATGGCTCCGCGCTGGCTCCCAGGAACCGAGGAGGGGCTGTGGCCCGTGGAGGAGGACCGGGGAGAAGACTCCTCAGAGGACCTAGGGGCCGCAGGTGGGTGTCGTGTGCCGGGCTGGAGGGCGGGGACCCTGTGCTGCTGACGCGCCCCAGCTGGGCTCTCTCCCAACAGAGGACGACCTAGAGGCTGCGGAGTACGCCGAGCCTGAGGGGGCAGAGCCCGAGGAAGCCATAGACCTGAGTGAGCATGGGTGTGGGCTGCAGGCTGGGGCTGGAGAAGGGCCGGGCTGGGGGGCGGTTGGTGGTTAGCGGCCGCGGCTGCAGCTCCAGCTGCTCCTTCCCCAGAAGACGCCGCCATGCCCGCACCGCTGAGCTACGAAGAGCTGGTCCGCAAGAATGTGGTAGGCAGGGGGCTGGGGGCTGGTGGGCGTGGTGGGGGCAGCGCACACAGAGGCTGGAGCCCCTTCTCCCCTAGGAGCTGTACATCACCTCCTCCCAGAGGTTCGTGCATGAGACGGAGCTGAGCCAGCGCATCCGAGACTGGGAGGACAGAGTGCAGCCCCTCCTCCAGGAGCAGGTAGGGGTTGGCGTGGGCGTGCGGGGCCTCCCGCCCGTCCTGCTGCCTGGGGCTTGCCCAGGACCTGGCCTTCCTCTCGCAGGAGGAGCGCGTGCCCTTCGACATCTACACATACCAGGACCAGGTGATCTCAAGCTTCAGCCAGCTCAACCAGTGGTGCCCCTTTGCGCAGCTAGTGGCCGGCCAGCCTGCCTTCGAGGTGTGCCGCTCTATGCTGGCCTCCCTGCAGCTGGTGAGTGGCCTGGGGCAGGGCGGGAGAGAGGAGGCTCGTGCCTGGCCTCTGACACCTCCTTCCTGCAGGCCAACGACCACACGGTGGAGATCAGGCAGCAGCCGGGCCTGGAGGAGGCCGTGGACACCATGTCCCTGAGGCTGCTCACGCAGCAGAGGGCCTACCAGCGCTTCCAGACCTACACGGCCCCGTCCATGGCCCAGCCCCAGGCTGGGCCTCCCTCCCCCGCCCCGAGTCCTTCTGGCCCAGCCTAATAAAGTGTCGTGACTGCACCTCCCCGCAAGGCTGCACAGACCACAGGGCACACGCAGGCCGCCTCTTCCGCTTTAATGACCGGGCTCGCCCAGGACGCTCCGGAAGGTGGCCATGTGGCCCCGCACGCTGTCCGCGATCTGCTGGGCCGAGCGGGAGCGGCCGTAGTAGTCCGTGAAGAGGCCGTCGGGGCTGAGCAGGTAGATGGCGATGGAGTGGTCCACGATGTAGTCCTGGTCCTCGTCCTTCGGGCCCGCGCTGTAGTACACGCGGTAGCTGCGGCTGGCCTGGGCCACCTGCTCGGCGGAGCCCGTCAGCCCCAGCAGGCGCGGGTGGAAGTCCTGCACGTAGCGGGCCATGGCGGCGACGTCGTCCCGCTCGGGGTCCACGGTCACGAAGAGGGGCTGCACCGGGGGCAGCCCCGGCTCGGCCTCCAGCGCGCGCACCACCTGCACCAGCTTCTCCAGCTCGTCGGGGCAGATGTCGGGGCAGTGCGTGAAGCCGAAGTACAGCAGCACCCACTGGCCGCGGAAGTCGGCCTTGCGGCGCGGGCGGCCGTGGTGGTCCAGCAGCTCGAAGTCGCCCTGGCCCACGGCCGCCTGGCGCAGGGCCTCGGCCCGCTGCTGCCGCCGCCGCTGCTCCTTCTCGGCGCGCGCGGCCCGCCAGGCGCCCCACAGCCCCGCGCCGAACGCGGCGGTCACGAGCAGCCGCGCGCGCAGCCCCGGGCCCCGCGCGCCCGCCGGCCCGAGCCGCGACAGCGCGCGGCGGCCCAGGCGGCAGAGCCCCGCGGCGGGGAGCCGCGCCAGCAGCGCCATGGGCGGCGGGAAGGTCACCGGGCCCGCGCCCCACGCGGCTGCCTGCGCTCCGCGGCGGCGCCCCGGCCAGCGCGCGTGCGCGGGCGGGCGGGGCGGGGCTTCCGGCGCGCGGGCCGGCGCTTCCGGCGCCCGCGAGGCCCCGCCCACGGGCGCCCGGGCGCGGCGGCGGCTCGCGGGCTTTAGTGCTGCGCAGGCGCGGGCGGCGGCAGCACCAGCTCGGCGAAGGGCGACGGGGCGGCGAAGGGCGCGCGGCTCGAGAGCACGAGCGCCTCCTGCAGGGCGCGGCGCTGCGGGTCGCTGAGCGCGGGCGCGTCCAGGTGCACGCGGAGCCAGGGCGTCCCTGCGGGCGGGCAGGCCGGCGGGCAGTCAGCGTGGGCCGGCGCGCACGGGGCCCGGGGGCCCGGGGGCCCGGGGGCGGTGCTCACCGCGGCTCACTCTCTGGCCCACGTCCACCAGCAGCTCGGCGCCCACGCCTGGCCGGAGCGACTCCCCGGCGCGGCTGCGCCCGGCCCCGAGCTCGTGCAGTACGCGCGCCAGGGGCAGCGCCCGGACCAGCTCCACGGTGCCTGCGGGGCGGGGGGCTGGGCTCAGGGACGGCGGCCGCGGCGGCGGCGGCGCGGGCAGGGCTGGACTTCTCCGGGCACTCACCGTCCACGGGCGCGCGCAGCTCCTCCTGCACCTGGGCGCGAGGCAGCAGCTGCCGACGCTGCGCGGGGCTCCCGCCGCACAGGGCCTGGGCCAGGCCCGGGTCCACGCCCTGAGCCACGAGCATCCGCTCGAAGCGTGCCCGGGCCGAGCCGTCGTCCAGCGCAGCGGCCACGCGCTCGGCGCCGGCGTCCTGGGTCTGCGCCTGCCCGCCAAGCCACAGCAGAGCGCCCCCTGCGGGCGGGACGGGCTCAGACGCGCGGCGCCGGGACCTGCGGCGCTGGGCCGGCCCGCCCCCGCCCCCGCCCCCGCCGGGGCCTCACCGAGCCTCACGACCAGGTCCCGCAGGTCTGGTGGCCCCGCGCCGTCCATGGCGAGCAGCGCCTCTTCCACCTCCAGCGAGTTGCCCACGCAGCGGCCCAGAGGGCCGTCCATGGCGGTGAGGGCAGCCGCGACGCGCAGCCCCAGGCCCGCCCCCACGCCCACCTGCGGAAACGAGGTTGGGCCGACGCGCCCCCAGGCCCTGCTGCACTCTTGCATGCGGGCCTGGCTCCAAGGTTGGGGTCGGGTGGTGTCCCAAAGGTAGGGGCTGCCGCCTAGGGGCCTGGTCCCCGCAGGTGCGGGCTGGGACATGGCTGCTGGGACAGGGGCTCACCAGTGCTTCAGCCAGTTCCCGGGCCTGGGCCTGGGTGGGGAAGAACGCAGCCTCTCCAAACTTCACATCCACCACCAGCGCCGACAGCCTCTCCACCACCTTCTTGCTGAGGATGGAGGCTGTGGTGGTCAGAGAGGCCGCTGGTGAGGAGAGGGCCCCAAGCTCCTGGCTTGGTCAGTAAGGAGGGGCCTAAACGTTGCGGGTCCAGGCCCCTGGGACGGTGACAGGACCTCGGGGCAGGGCTTGAGGCACGCTGTGAGGCTGGGTCACCTGTGATGAGGGGCAGGCTGTCGATGGTGGCTGTCACGTCTCTGGCTGCATACAGGAGACCGTCTGCAGGGACCAGCTGCTGGCTCTGACCCACAATGCAGCAGCCCACGTGCTCCAGCATCTCTTGCATCTGGAGAGCCCCATGGAATCAGGCTTTCCAGTGACCCTCAGTGACCCCTGATTAATCACTGACCATCCCTCAAGCTGATCAAGGAGTCTTCAGCAACCTCGACGAGTATCCAAAGCCATAACCAATGAGGGATAAGTTCAGAAATACCCTCATTGCCTGGTTGTAACCTTAGTCAGCACCCTGTAGCCCATTAATGATTGCCAGTGAGACAGCAATTCAACCAAGCCCAGGGTATGATTCCAAAGACCAGTGACCACAACTGATCAGCGCATGCATAAGTGACTGATTAATGACCCAGCAGTGATCCTCCAGAGATTACAGCCAATCCTTCCATCTGTAGCCCTGCTCTACCTGCTCTGGGCTCTGAAGGACCGTGAATCCAGGAATCGACTCCAGCTTATCCAGGGTGCCCCCGGTGTGCCCCAGACCACGGCCACTGATCATTGGGACCTGCTGGGCAACATGCTGACACGCCTGCGTTGTCCCCTCCCTACCCCCACCTGCATTGTCCCTTGTTCCCAGCTGGGCTGCAGCGGAGCCAGAGTATCTAGTGGGCAGATGCAGGGGATGCCCAGCTGCTGGAGAGGGTACTGCGGGTAAACCGCCCAATTTGGGGGCTGGAATGATAGCACAGCGGGGAGGGTATTTGCCTTGCACGCGGCCGACCTAGGTTCGATTCCCAGTATCCCATAGGGTCCCCCAAGCACCGACAGGAGTAATTCCTGAGTGCAGAGCCAGGAGTAGCCCCTGTGCATCGCGGGGTGTGATCCAAAAAGAAAAACACTGCCCAATTTTCAGGGTGGTCAGTAGGAAGGAGGGTGGCCTCTGTCCTTGGGAGGGTGACTTGGGGGAGTGGGGATATGGGAGGCCCTTGGGGAGAAAACAGGTACAAAGAGCTGGGACACTTGGTCCTGGCAGGGAGATCATGATATCATGATGGGGAGAGGGACCCACGTTCTGCCAGGGGGTGGGCAGAAACCCTGGGTTCTGCATTTGGGATTCCTGGGCCAGGCTTGGGGTCAGGAGCAGTGAAGCAGCAGGAGGGCTCTGGGGATGTGTGATTCTAACCTTGCAGCCACAGGCCGCTAGGGCAGGCGCCAGGACCAGGCTGACCTTGTCCCCCACGCCCCCTGTGGAGTGTTTGTCCACCAGCTGCTGGTGCCAGGTCTCAGGCCACTGTAGCTGCTGCCCCGAGTTGGCCAGTGCTCGAGTCAGCACCTCCGTCTCCGTCATATCCATGCCTCGCAGCCGGATGGCCATGAGCATGGCCCCTGCGCACGGGGTTCGGTGATGTAGACAGCATGCGGGGGCAGGAGGTGGGCGGTCCGGCCGGGGGCGCCCCGCTCTCCTACCCACCGATTTGCGGGCCCTGCGCGCTCCCGTCCACCACTGCGCGCACGAAGCTCCGGATGTCCACCTCGCTCAGGCGGCCGCCGTCGCGCTTCAGGCGGATGAGCTCCGGCAGCGGCCTGGGCTCCGGCGAAGAGTCGCCGGGACCCCGGGACCCTCCCTCCGAGGCGCCTCGGGGTGCAGCCATCGCTCTGGATGCTGCACTGGAGCCTGCCGCAGCCCGGTCCCCGGCGCGTCTCGGCGGCTGGAGCCCGCCCCTCACCGCCGCCCCCGCGCGTACCTGTCCCGACAGCCGCCCTCGCCCGACCCGCTCGGGACTCCCACCGGCTTCGGCCCGCTCTGTCCGAGTGCGGCGCGGGCGCCGCGGACCGGCGGCCCGAGGACTTCGGCCCCGGCCTCCCGCGGCCAATCCCGAGGGCCCCGCCCGAGCGCAAGGCGCGGCGCGCACAGACAGGCGGACGCAGGGCTACTCTCAAGTTTTAAGTGATCAGCGGAGGGGCGCGCGGGAGGGTCACTTCTCCGGGTCGATGAGCAGCGGGGCCATGTAGTCCGAGTGCCGGATCCCGAAGCTCCAGCCTCCGGGCTTACGGTTCTGCGGCCCCAGGACACGGCGCTGGCACCCGGGCAGCAGCCTGCCTCGTGCCTGGCCCCCAGCCCCAACCCCTGGACCTCAGGCCTGGGCCCCTCATCCCCTTCCTCGGACCCCCGACCCTGGGCTCCAGACCACCTGGTCCACGTTGTAGGCCGCTGGCCCGGGCTTCTGAGACTGGTCTTGGGGGAGTGACGTTCGCGCCAGCATGGTGAACTGGGGGGCCCGGGACTTGTAGACGCCGGTGTTCACCACGTGGTAAGCGCAGGGCCCTGGGGTCTGCAGGGCGGGAGGGCCGCTGGGTCCAGCCTGTCCTGCCGATGCCCCGGCCCCACCCCCGACTGCCGGGGCCCTGCGGTTCCCCACACCTTGCTCAGGTCCTCCAGGAAGCTGCCCACCGGGTTGCGGCCGTTCATAGAGTAAGTCGGGGCCGAGACTTTACTGACCAAGTTTGGGCCCAAGAGCGATGGCACCTTGTAGGTCGCTGGGCCTGCAGGCAGGAGGAGGGGCGGAGGGGAGCGGTGGGCGCGCGTTGTTGGGGTGGGCCGGTGCGGTGCGGGCCGTGCCTCCCCCTCCTCACCTGGGATATGCGTATCCACGCGCAGGCCCCAGTTCCGGGGAGCTAGGGTGTACCGCGGCGCACTGGGGTATGCCACGTTCCCGGCCAGCTCCGGACGGTACCTGCCTGCGGGGCGGGGTGTGCGTGAGCTGGACTCCGGTGGGGTGCTGGGCCACACCCTCCTGCCCCTCTTTCAGCATCTCGGGCTGGGGGAGCGGGTGGCTAGCCCCAGCTCCGAGTGCCGGTACCCTGGGCAGGCCTCCCTCCAGCGCCTGACCCGGTCCCGGGGTGCGGAAGGCCGTGGTGGCGCGCGGACGGCCGTAGATGGAGAAGGCGGGGGTGCCGTCGCGCCCGCGCGCGGTCATGCGCGGCGGCACCAGGTAGCCGGGGCCTGGGCCGCTCGGAGCTGACAGCGTGGGGAGGCGCGAGCCGAAGGTGAAGGCGGGGGCGCGGGCCCGAGACGGGTCGTGCAGGGCGTAGCCTGCGGGGAGGTTGGTCCCGCGTCACCGCCCGTCCCCGTCTCCCCCTCGCCACCCACCCCCGCCCCGGACGCCACCCTTGGTGCTCAGACTGCCCCGCACAGCCTCACCCGCTCCACTGGCCCGCACACCGCCCCCTCCGTGCCGGGGCACCCCGCACGCCCCCTCCCCGCTCCCCTGTCCTGCACACCCCCTTCGCTCCCCAAACACCCTCTCCCTCTCTCCTCGCTCCCCTGCCCCGCACACCCTCCCCTCCATGCCCGGGACGCCCTGCACATCCCCTCCCCGCCCCGCGTACCGGTGTTGGGAGGGAGCATGTACTTGGGCCCGGGGCCGCTGTAGAGCGCCGCGATGGGGCCCCGCGGGCGGTGCGGCCGCCACGGGCCCACCCACACGTCCGAGCCCATGATGCGCGGGCGTGCGCTGGCCGCTTACCTGCGGACAGAAGGTGGCGGCCCGGCCCCTCCACCCCGAGTCCGTGCCCGTCCGCCCCTCCCGGCCAGTACCCCGAGCCCGAGAGCAAGCAGGGGCTCTCCGGCTCCGCGGGGCGTGGGCGCCGGCGCGTCCCTGCGGTGTCCGCGGCAGCCGAGTCCGGACGCGGATCTCGGAGAGGGACTGGACATCCGCGGGCGCCCGGCTCCCCGCCGCACTGACCTGCTCCCGCGCCGCGGAGTGTCCGGCTCCGTCCTGGCCCGGCCCGCAGCCCCCATTGTGTTCGGGTCTGGCCTCCTGGCAACCGTCGGGCCAATGCGTCCTTACCCGACTCCGCCCCTCTCGGGCCTCCGCGGGTGTCGCCGGCGCCTGGCAGCAGTGGGGGTTTCCTGGGCCTCCTGGACTTCACAAGCCCCACCCAAGAGTGGACAGATCTGTAGCCAGGAAACACAGATGAGACTAGACTCCGCAGAGTCCAAACAGCAAGTTGGACCCAACTCTTTGGTGGAACAGGAGAACTTTCTGTTTAAGCCCATGGAATGTTTGCCCAAAAAAAGCATGTAGGGAACTTGTGCAACAGGCAGGGAACTTGCCATGCACGTGGCTGACCTGGGTTCCATCCTCAGTGTTCCATATGGTCCCCTGAGCCCTGCCAGGAGTAATGCCTGAGCACCTAGAAATTAAATCAGAAGAAGTAAAACAAGGAGCATGTAACGGGCACCACAAAAGTAAAAAAGTGAGTAAAAAAATAGAAATACCGAATGGAATCAGGACTACATGACCTCCACGGCCACACCTGCACATGTGATCTTGTTCTATTGACACAGCCCTCGTTTTCTGTGCTACTGTCTGGGGACAAGGACCCAGCTGAGCAGTTGCCACAGTGACCCTGTGACCTACAAAGGTTGTGCCCTGACCCTTTCCAAAACAAGTTCTGTGGGGCTGGAGACACCGGACAGGTTAAGGCAATTGCCTTGCATGTAGCTGACCCCAGTTCGATCTCCAGCACTAGATATGGATCCCCAAACAAAGTGGTGGGATACTCCAAGTACTGCTGTATGTAGCCCAGCCTCCTCACCCCCAGGTACCCCCAAATAGAACAAGCTTTCTGGGGCTAAGGAGATCGCACGGGGCTAGAGACTTGGTCTAATCCTTGGTGCCCCACGTGCCTGAGTGTGCCAGGTGCAGCCCTGCACCCTTGGACTCTAGTTGACGAGTATCACTAGGAGTGGCCCCTATGAACCCTGTCTCTGTGACTGATGGGTGTGGATGAGGAAGAAAAGAAAGAGCCAGATTCTGGGTGCTGCTGTGGTTCTGGGCTGAAGATTTACAGAAATGAGTTCTCTGACATGTGAATCATAAAGAAGTGGTCCCCAGAGCCATGGAGCACTCTCCTTCTGGGCGTGGCTAAAGCCCTGCACTACCAGGAGCGTTCTCCTCCCCTCCAAAATAAGGCATGTGTTCAGTCTAAGATCTTGCAACCTTACGGAAAGAAAACCCAAGTCATCTACAAAAGGAGAAATGAGGTTAGCAGGAGCTGAGTGGTCTTCAACACTGGGAGTGGCAGCAAAAACAGCTTCTGGAAAGGACAGAGCTGAGGGAATCTCAAGGCAGCAAAGGAAAGATGGTGCTAGGATGTGGGCGACAGAACTGAGAGTACTGCACAGGAAGGACCCAGGCAGAGGGGGCCCTTGGAAACATTTTTCCTTATTTTGGAGAGCACTGTATACAGCAATTCCACCAGAGGGCGCTCTGTATACAAGTAAGAGATTCCGTTTTTCTTTTTGGGTCACACCCAGCTATGCTCAAGGGTTACTCCTGGCTCTGCACTCAGGAATCACTCCTGGCGGTGCTTAGGGGGCTCCTATGGGATGCCGGAGATTGAACCTGGGTCTGCCGCATGCAAGGCAAATGCCCTTCCAGCTGTCCTATTGCTCTGGCACCAAGATTTCGTTTTCCTTTCATTTTACCCTGTTGTCTTTTTTTCACAAATTCTGAAACACAGGGCGAGTATCTGGCAGTGTCTATGACTTTCATAGGTGTAACTGATATTTCAACTGTTACCTTGCCCAGAAGTGCTCAAGGATTACTCTTGGCTCTGTGCTCTGGAGTTGCTCTCAGCAGTGTGAAGGGGATGGTGCGCTGCCGGGGATCAAGCCCCACCTCCTACATACAAATCGTGCTGAGGCTCCAGAGGAGAGGGTGCTTACCTTACCCGTGGCCGACCCCAGCACCACATAAACCCGAGACTGCCGGGGGTGGAGGGTGGGGGTGTGTGATTCTTAAGCACAAAGGCAGAAGGGAGTCCTGATTACCACCAGGGGTGGGCCCAAAACAAAAAAACTAAACAAAGCATGAGCTTAGCACATCGAGCTATCTCTCCAGCCCTCAACTATTACTTGTAGATTTAGAAATATCCGTAGCTGATATGATTAGTGATTCTTTTTTTTTTCTTTTTGGGTCACACCCGACAATGCTCAGGGGTTACTCCTGGCTCATGCACTCAGGAATTACTCCTGGCGGTGCTCGGGGGACCATATGGGATGTTGGGAATTGAACCTGGGTCGGCCATGTTGGCTGCATGCAAGGCAAAGGCCCTACCCGCTGTGCTATCGCTCCAGCCCCTGATTAGTGATTCTTGGTGGGGGGTGGGGCAGGGCAGACAGTGCTGAGTACCATGGCAGTGCTCTGGACACCACATGATGCTAGTGACTGAATTCGTGCCCTACATGCAAAGCGTGTGCTCCAGCCCTTTGCGTCATCTCCTTGGCCCAGCCAAGTGACTCGTAATGGAACACTGATGCTGAGGAGATGCGGCTTAATGCTCCTTTCCTCTGCAGGTAGGAAGCTGAGCAGGGACGGAGCTCTGGGTCAAAACAGCAGAGGTCTTTCCTGCTGCTGTCCTAAGCCAGGACCCCCACGACACCCCTCTGAAGGCAGATCCTAGGTCTGTGGGGTCTCAGACTCACTTCTTATCACTTAGAGAAACTGGGCTGGGCCTCATCCCTTCTGGGGAACTGAGCGTCCCAGTCTCTTCACTGAGGTGACTTCCTTGTTCTCTCTGTCCCTCAGATATACCTGGGCTAGGAAAGGATGAAGGCCATATCCAAGATTCCACCCGCAGGTGGAGGGCCACCTTAAGGCATGACCCCCCCCCCACACACACCCCTTGCTGTCATGTAATCTGCTTGGGGAAGCCAGGAGGGGACCAGAGAGATGGGTGTGATACCTGAGGACCAGCAGAGCCAGGCTGGATGCCAGGGACGCTCCTGGGCTACCTTCTTGCTGCCTGAGTCAGGGAGGTCTGTGTCTCGCAAGAAGCACAACCCACACATTTGAAGCCCTGCCTTATCCCAGGGGCTCCGGCCCCACCTGGCTCCTGTCCCAAGAAGATACCTGAGGCCAGCTTTGGTGAGAAGGCTCCTCTCTGGGAAGGTCAAATGCTTGCCCTGAAGACTCACCTACATGCAGTCTCTGAGTGGCTGAGGGGAAGGTGAGGGTAGAGAGACTCCCAAGGAATATGGGGAGGGGTACTGGGAGTCAGGGTGAGGGAGGGCATGGGACAGCGGCAGGTGGTCAGTCAGTGCAGCCAGACCTAGGGAAGCAGGAAGCTCTCCCAGGCCAGGGGGATTGCAATAAGCCTGGCCAAGAAAAAAAAAATAAAAGTTTGGGGTTTCTGGATTTTAAAATTCTTTTCAAACCCATTCCTCTCTGTGGTACTATCAGTAAAATCTGCCTTGTTGCACAAGTTCCCCTCCCCCAGAACTTGGGGGACACAGTGCCAGCGCCCCCACCCCCCACAGAGGCAGCTTGCAAGGGCCCCCTCTCCTCTTTCCTGGCCAGCCAACAGTGGGGAGTTCTTCTCTGGTTTCTGGTAATTTCATCGGGCTGCATCAAGTTGCTAAAACTACAGATACCATCTCCCCAGGGGTAACTCTTTCTTGCCAGAGTCCCCTGAGGCTGGACCTATGCTCAGAGGAGGGACAGAGAAGAGTCTGGGGTGTGTGCACTCCTTAGAAGCAGGATGGCTGAGATGCTATTAAACTGCCTCTAGAACTTTTGGAAGAGGAGAAGGGGCGTCTGGAGAGGCGTGAGCTCTTGTAGACAATGCTGTCCCCTGATACCCACACAAGGCCCTGCATACTCCCTGCCCTACCCACCAGCCAGGCAGAGTGGCTGGCACTAGCACAGTCCACCTTAACTGGCGGCTTCTGGGCGGGGCGCTTCCCTGGACACCTCCTGCAGAGGCAGCCCAGGCCCAGTGCTGGACTCACTCACACACAGCTGCGGGCCTGATGCTGGGTCTGGTGCTGGCATCTCCATGATGCCCATGCAGGGCAGTTCGGAGCCTGCCAGTCCCGCCTGGGGCTGGGCAGGGGAAGAGGAAGACGACTGGGACAGCCCTGCCTTGAGCCTGCTGGCACTTGCTGTGGTCGCTGCCACTGCTCTGGCCTTGCACTGGTTTGGCTCTGGGCAGCACCAGGAAGCAGAGGGACAAGCAGCAGCCACAGACTCCGGGGCTCAAACTGCTCAGACTGGAGGAACTGGGCCAGCCCTGTCTCCAAAGGCCAGTGGCGGTATTGGAGGATGTGGCCCAGGGCAGGGAAAAGCAGCTCTTCCGGGAGCAGGCAAGGAGAGTGTGGCTGCCACAGGAGTTCAGGAGCAGAAGACCCCCCCAGGTGGGGGGCTGGCTGCCTTGGCGGCACCTTCGCTCCAGACAACTGGTCAAGTGGCTGGCGGAAAGCAGCAGGGCAACAACGCTGCAGAGGACCCTCAAGGGAGAGGAAAGGAACCTCTGGGGTCAGGCTCCGTGCTGGAGAGGAGCAAAGTAGGGGGGACTTCTGCCCCCCTCCTGATATACTTCACCCCTCGGAGTTCTGGCGAAGACAGGGAGCTGCAGGAGAAGACAGGAGGTGTCCAAGCCAAGGCAGCAGGCCACCAGCTCCCGGGCCACACCACAGCAGAGGACAGCAGACCCTGGAAAAGGGCTCTGGGGCCACGTGATTCTTTGGGGAGAGGTCCACGCAGCCGGCTGCAGAGGCAGGTGGACAGCTCAGGAGTGAGACCCTGTGGCCGCCCCAAGCCAGACTATCTCTGCCTGGGCAATGTGGTGAGTGTGTGGGATGCAGTGGATGCAGCTTGCAGCCTCTCAGGGGGCACCCAGCGCATGCCCTTTCCCCAGGAGCTGCCCCTATCACACGTGGGGCAGGCTGGGCCCCAGGCAGATGACTCAGAGAGAGGGCACAGGAAAAGCTGTCCTCAACCCGTTCCAATGCTCACTCTAGACTCAGGGGCCAAAACTGATGAGAGCAAGAAGACTGGGCCCCAGGACTTCAGGGGATCTCAGGAATCCCCAACGTCCAAGGAAGGCTGGCCTTGGGCAAGGAGGGAAGTCCTCATCACTGGCAGCCACTTGTGCCCAGGGTCAGAACAGGGCCGCCCAGTCCATGGGCAGGGGACTGCCTCTGTGGGAGCACCTGCGGGCAACGGTTCTGCAGATCATGAATTCTGCAGCTCTGCGCAGGGCTGGACAGAGAAGCAAGGGGTCCAGTCTGCAGAAGGGGGCAGATCTGGGCAGGGCCAGGCGGAGCAGAGCAGGGGCCAGGGGGGACACAGCATGGCCCCTCCCCAGCTGCTAGTACAGCCAGTTTGGGGCACAACCCCGAGGCCCTCCCCGGTGCCCCGCCCACTGTTCACCTCCCCACCTGCCCACCCTGGCTCCTCTCCCCCTGGGACTGACCAGGGCCCTACAGAGCGCCAGGGGCCCAGGGCAGTCCCCACCTCAGTCTTGCCTCCTGTCTCTGCTCCTGCCCTCCCAGTCCCCACCCCCACCTCTATCACAGCCCCTACTCAGGGTCCTGCCCTTGCCTTAGCTGCAGCCCCCACCTCTAACCCCACCTCCACCCTTGCTCCAGTCCCCGTGCCTGCCCCAGCCCCCACCGGAGTTTCCAGTCCAATCTCCACCCTTGTCCCTATCTCTGCCGCAGACGCAGTCCCTACCCCTGCCTTCATCCCTCTCTCCGCCCCCGCCCCCGCTCCAGCCCGGGACCCCACCCCTGCCCCGGCTCCAGCCCAGGACCAGGCAGCAGCCCCAGCTCTAGCCTCCAAACCTGTCCCCGCTCCCGCCCCCGCCCCCACTCCAGCCCCGGACCCCACCCCTGCCCGGGCTCCAGCCCAGGACCAGGCAGCAGCCCCAGCTCTAGCCTCCAAACCTGTCCCCGCTCCCGCCCCCGCCCCCACTCCAGCCCCGGACCCCACCCCTGCCCGGGCTCCAGCCCAGGACCAGGCAGCAGCCCCAGCTCTAGCCTCCAAACCTGTCCCCGCTCCCGCCCCCGCCCCCACTCCAGCCCCGGACCCCACCCCTGCCCGGGCTCCAGCCCAGGACCAGGCAGCAGCCCCAGCTCTAGCCTCCAAACCTGTCCCCGCTCCCGACCCCGCCCCCGCAGCAGCCCCCACCCCAGGTCCTGCTCCCACCCCAGCCGCGATGCCCGTCGCAGCTCCTGCCACAGCCCCCACCCCTGTCCCTGCTCCCGTTCCCTCCAGCCCAGCCCCCATGCCCGTCCTTGCTCCCACTCCCGCCCCCGCGGCAGCCCCCACCCCTGTCCCTGCTCCCGTCCCCAGCCCAGCCGCACAGCCTCCAGCCCCTGACCCCGTGGCCCCCACCCCAGCCGGGGCCGAGGAGGAGCCGTCGGGGCGCGGGGCCGCGCCCCAGGAGCAGGAGGGGCGGCTCTCCACGAGCTGGGGGACCCTGATTTCGATGGTTCTCAGGAACCACCCCTTCCCCAAGGCGGAGAGCCTCCCGGGGAGAGCCCCCGGCCCCTCCACGCCCTCTGGGGCCCCGGGTGGGGCCGCGCCCAGTCTCCCGGAGGGGCTCTGCTCCGAGGCTCCGAGTGGGCCGCAGAGCCAGGGGCCCCCCGCAGCCCCGCGGCCTCGCCCGCGCCCGCGGAGACGCAGCCCGGGCGCCGCGCCGCAGCGGGAGGCGCGCAAAGCCGCGGCGTTGCCGCAGAGCGCCGGGAGCGGGGGGCCGGCGGACCCCAGGCCCAGCGCCGCGGCTCGCGAGCCCGCGTCGACAGCTGCTCTGCCGCGGCCCCTGGACCTCGGCGGCTGCCTCGAGGCGCTGGCCGTCGCGCAGCAGCGCGGGGAGCCCGGCCTGGCGCAGGACACCTACGCCCTCATGAGCGACAACCTTCTGCACGTGCTGGCCGAGCCCGGCCTCTACCGGCAGCTGAGCGGGGCCGAGCGCGAGCGCATCCTGAGCCTGCGGACCCGCCGCGGCCAGGCCGTGCTGGGGGTGCTGGTGCTGCCCAGCCTCTACCAGGTGAGCCGCGGGGGTCTCCCCCGGAGAGCACCCAGGGAGGAGGCCCCAGCGGCAGAGCCTGCCCACCTGCCTGCCCGCTCCCACCTGCACGTGTTCAACCCCCAAGAGAACACCTGGAGGCCCCTGACCCAGGTGCCCGAGGAGGCCCCGCTCAGGGGCTGTGGTCTCTGCACCATGCACAACTACCTGTTCTTGGCGGGGGGCATCCGAGGCTCCGGTGCGCAGGCAGTCTGCTCCAAGGAGGTCTTCTGCTACAACCCCCTGACTAACATCTGGAGCCAAGTGCAGCCCATGCAGCAGGCACGAGCGCAGCTCAAGCTGGTGGCCTTGGACGGGCTGCTCTACGCCATCGGGGGCGAGTGCCTGTACAGCATGGAGCGCTACGACCCACGCACGGATGCCTGGACCTCACGAGCTCCCCTCCCTGCCGGCACCTTCCCTGTGGCACACGAGGCCGTGGCCTGCCGTGGGGACATCTATGTCACCGGGGGCCACCTGTTCTACCGCTTGCTCAGGTACAGCCCTGACAAGGACACGTGGGATGAGTGCTCATACAGTGCCAGCCACCGGCGTTCCAGTGACATGGTGGCGCTGGGGGGCTTCCTGTACCGCTTTGATCTGCTGAGGGGGGTGGGCGCTGCGGTGATGCGCTACAACACAGTGACAGGCTCCTGGAGCCGCACAGCCTCCCTGCCCCTGCCTGACCCTGCTCCGCTCCGCTGTGCTGTTCTGGGCAACACCATCTACTGCCTCAACCACCAGGTCACAGCCACCTTCACGGTGTCTGAGGGGACAGCCCAGTTCCAGGCCAAGGAGCTGCAGCCTTTTCCTCTGGGGGGCACAGGTGTCCTGTGTCCATTCACCCTGACTCTGCCCTCGGCAGTACCCCTGCAGACTGCCCTCTGAGGGCTACGCATCTGTCCAATGGGGATACAGAACGTTTTTCTGTTGTAATCCCTCTCCTGCAGGCCCTTTTCTCTCCCCAACCCCCTTCCCAGACAGCCCTGTCCTTCTGGCACCTACCTGTGCTGGAGGCCAGCTGTCACTCCCAGCTCAAGCTTCTCACACACCTGAAGTTCACCCGCTTTGGGGCCCAGTTCTTGCCCACAGTCCTCTTCAGGCTGCCCACAGGCCAGATCTCACAGACCAGCCTTGCTGCTGCTGCGAAGAGTTGGCCCGTGGCACACCCTGGTGTCCCAGAGCAGGGCTCCTATGCTCCCAAGGGCAGGGCTGGGCTCCCTGCGGTGCCTGGCGAGAGTGAGCAGAGGAAGGAGATGGAAGCACATTGTTCTGCCCTTAGGGTCCACACTAGGCCAGGAGCCCATGAGGGGGTGGAAAAGCTTTCTCATCTCTAGGACTCTGTCCTGAGGCCTCTGGGGAGCCTCTTCAGGATCAGCCTTTAGGTACTACCCCCAGCCCATCCTCACTTGTTGGGTTGGTCCTGAAGGACCAAGAGAGAACTCTATCAGTATCCCTAGCCCAGGACCCAGCCAGGACCACTAGGGCCCCTCTCCAGCCTGCCCTGTTCAGTCCCTGCAGAAGCCCACCACACTTCCTAACAACTCCCCCCTTAAATATGACCCTGGTTTCACTTGAGTTCTGCCTCTTCCTAGCTGCGTGCACTTGATGAGACTTTCCTTACTTGTAAAATGGGGTGAGGTACATCGGTCATTCAGGGGAGCTGTGGAAGTATGAGGTCACCTGGGTGAACACCTAGCCCAGAGTCCAGGACATGGAGTTGAGTAAATATCACTCCCCCTTACCCACTCTGGAACCCCCATCGGGCGATGAATAAAGCTGATTGAACTCTGCTGCTGCTGCCCTCTCTGCCTGCCTGGTCAATGTCTCCCCACCCCACCCCACCCCCAAGCCCATGAGGGCCCTGCTGCTGAGTTCACTAGAACACTTGCCTGCTCTGTCCACCAGGTTGATGAGCACCTGAGCAGGACAGAGAGTGTTCGAAAATAGATTTATTGAGATACAAATAAATACACACAGCTGTGCCTGTGGGCCGCTGTCCCTCCATCAAGGGAAGGCTGTCCACAGCGTACTGTCCTACTGCATGCGTTTGGTTTCACTGAGTAGGTCCTGCCAGTTCTTCTCCATCTCTTCCTTGCAGTTGAGGAAGGCATCTTCCAGCCGGCGCATGGACTCGGCCAGTGTGGGGTTGGTACGCATCACCACCATGTCATAGGCCATCCAGGTGGCCTGCACTGCAACAAGCAGACAGATCCTGTTCAGGCCACAGGTGGGACTATGGCCCAGGACACTTGGTTGTGTGTATGGATACTCCAGCACAGATGAGCATCCTGGGGACCAGACCCTACTGGGTCACCTGGTGATTTTAAGGAGAGAAAGAGTGTGGGGGTTTCCTCTCTAAAACTCTACCAGAATTCCTTCTGACAGAGAGAAGTGATGAACTTCCTTCATCTCATACAGCCTTAACTCCTGGAGAAATCAGACCAAGACACTAGAAGACTGGAGATCAGTTGGATATGAAATCTTAGGAAATATTAGAGTTAACACAGATCCTTGCCTATATAGTTCACAGTGTATACACAGTGCAGAGTGTTTTTTGGGTCACACCCGGCAGTGCTCAGGGCTTACTCCTGGCTCTGTATTCTGGAATCATTCCTGATGGGACTCAGGTGACCCTGTGGAGTACTGGGACTCAAATAGGTCGGTCATGTGAAAGGTGAGTGCCTACCCACTGTACTATAGCTCTGACCCTTAACAGACCTGCATACACAGTGCCTAAGAAAAAATTGGAAAAAAGAAAGAAGGAGAAAAAAGAAGAAAGGATAAAGGGTGATGATTGTTAGTGCATGTCTTTAACAGCCTTGAGTTTATTTATTTATTTATTTGTTTATTGCTTTTTGGCTCACACCCGGTGATGCACAGGGGTTACTCCTGACTCATGCACTCAGGAATTACTCCTGGCAGTACTCGGGGGACCACATGGGATGCTGGGGATCGAACCCGGGCTGGCCACGTGCAAGGCAAATGCCCTACCCGCTGTGCTATTGCTCCAGCCCTAACAGACTTGAGTTTAAAAAGTAAAATGTCAATTATATTGGCAAAGGAAGCAAAACAAAAATAAATAAATGGAACTCTATCAAACTAAAGGGGATCTATATGGTAAAGAAACTTGGGCTAAAATAAAACCCTATTGAAAAGGAGAAACTATTTAAATGTCACACATCTGACAAATTTGACTGATATTCAAGATACATAAAGAACTCCTGATCTCAACAACAAAACTAATAATCACAAGGAAAAAAATGGGGACAACAGCTAACCACTTCTCCAAAGAAGACATATAGATGACTAACAGACATATGAAAAAGTGTTCATCATCACTTATTACCTGGGAAATATAAATAAAAATGACAATAAGATATCACTTCACACCACTGAGAGAGGCCTATACTCTAACCCTAACCCAAAAGACCAGAACAGCCAATGCTGATGGGGAATGTAATGAAAAAGACTTTCTCATTTACTGTTGGTACGGATACAATCTGGTTCAGATTCCATGGAAAACAGTATATAAATTTCTCAAAATATTAAAAAAAAGAACTATCATATCAGTAATTCCATTCCTTAGCATCCTTACAATCAACACGAAATCACTAATTTGAAGGGTCAGAGAGACAATACAAGGGTTAAGGCACTTGTCTTAAAAAAAAAAAAAAGGGAACTTGCCTTGCAAGTGGCCAATCCCAGTTCAATCCCAGGTACCACAAATGCTCCCTGAACACTACCAGGAGTGTTCCCAAAGTACAGAGCCAGGAGTCTGAGCAGTCAGGTGTGTTCCATTTCCCATCCCCCGCCAAGGTAAATTATATATATATTTTAATGTTAAGTTGTGATTTCTGACAAATTACTGAAGGAAAAATTTAGAAGATGTATTAACTTTAGACAGTTGTATAGAACATTTACATAAAAATAAAAAAACAGGGCCCGAGTGATGGTATAGCAGGTAGAGTGCTTGCTTTGCACATGGCCATCCCGGGTCTGATCTCCAGCACCCCATATGGTAGGTGTGACCACCCCCCACTCCACACACAAACCAAATTAAAATGTCTTCCTTGAAATCCCAAATGACTCCTTATCACCGAGACAAGAAGGATGAAATTCATTGTTTTGTTTTGTGCCACATCCAGTGGTATTCAAGTGTTACTCCTGGTTGTGTACTCAGGAATTTTTCCTGGTAATGCTCAGGGCACCATATGAGATGCAGGGGATTGAACCCTAACTGGCTGTGTGCAGGGCAAAGATCCTACCCACTGTACTCGAAATATGAAATTCTTTAGTGTGCATTGAAGACCCTTCCCACTTTTTTTTTTCTTTTTGGGTCATACCTGGCAATGCACAGGGCTTACTCCTGGCTCATGAACTCAGAAATTACTCCTGGTGTTGCTTGGGGTACCATATGGGATGCTGGGAATCAAACCTGGGTCAGCCACGTGCAAAGCAAACACCCTTACCCACTATGCTATCGCTCCAGCCCCCTTCTCACCTTTTTTTTATCTCTTTCTTTGGTCTTGAAAATCCTGTGCAGTGATGTGATTCATTGAACACATCAGATTTTCCCTTCAGGATACAGTATCTTGACTGTCTTTTTTTTTTTTTTTTTTTTTTGCTTTTTGGGTCACACCTGGCGATGCACAGGGGTTACTCCTGGCTCTGCACTCAGGAGTTACTCCTGGCGGTGCTCAGGGGACCATATGGGATGCTGGGAATCGAACCCGGGTCGGCCGTGTGCCAGGCAAACGCCCTACCCGCTGTGCTATCTCTCCAGCCCCAGTCTTGACTGTCTTTGAACTGAAATTCCTTTCCTCATTATCCCCAGCAACCTGCCTCATCTGTCTAATCACTACCTCTTCTCTAAAGTTCTAATCAAAGAGTACTTGTATCCCAGGCAGTCAGTTGTTCCTCCAAATTTGGATTCCTCCCCAGTATTTGATGGACACCATTATTACCATTTTTATTGTCATTTTTTTTTGGTGTGTGTGGGGGACTTTGGGTCACACCAGGAGATGCTCAGGGGTTCTTCCTGGCTCTTCTCAGAAATTACTCCTGGTGGGGTCTGGAGGACCAAATGAGATGCCAAGGATCAACCTGGGCCTCCTGCATGCAAGGCATTCACCCTACTGGCTATAATATTGCTGTGGTCCAAGGCCCCCTGCTTTTTTTTGTTTTTTGCTTTTTGGGTCACACCCAGTGATGCTCGGGGGACAACATGGAATGCCGGGAATTGAGCCCAGGTCAGCTGCGTGCAAGGCAAACACCCTACCTGCTGTACTACCACTCCAGCCCCCGACCCCTTACTTTTTGGAGGGCCACAACCAGTGGTGCTCTGGGGTTACTCTTGACACCGTGCTCAGGAGTGACCCCTGGTAGTGCTCAGGGTACCAGATGTGGTGCTAGGTATCACACCAGGATAACTTGCATGCAAGGTAAATCTTATCTCTCTGACCTTATAGTCTTTGTTTTTTGGCCACACCCAGCAGCGCTCAGGGATCACTCCTGGTGGGGCTCAGGGGACCATATGAGGTGCTGGGATTGGTCAATCTATGTGCAAGGTAAACCCCTACCCAATATACTGTCACTCCAGCCTCTAATTAGTCATTTTGATGTCCAATCTTCACCAACATTTTTTTTCCTTTTTTTTTTTTTTTTTGGTGGGGGAGAAAACAACCACATCCAGTGGTACTTGGGCTACTATTGGAACAGTGTTCAGGGGGTTTCCCGTAGCATTGCACAGAGACTCATACAGTACCAGGAAAAGAACACATGGTCTAATATATGTGAGAAAAGTGCTCTACCACTCAAACACATCAATGGTCTCACCAGTTTTTTCCAAAAAAGGAGCATCTCTATTCAACTTTATATTCCTAGAA